AGAGAGAGAGAGAGAGAGAGAAGAGGAGAGAGAGAGAGAGAGAGAGAGAGAGAGAGAGAGAGAGAGAGAGAGAGAGAGAGAGAGAGAGAGAGAGAGAGAGAGAGAGAGAGAGAGAGAGAGAGAGAGAGAGAAGGAGGAGAGAGAGAGAGAGAGAAGGGGAGAGAGAGAGAGAGAGAGAGAAGGGGGAGAGAGAGAGAGAGAAGGGGAGAGAGAGAGAGAGAGAGAGAGGAGAGAGAGAGAGAGAGAGAGAGAGAGGAGAGGAGAGAGAGAGAGAGAGAAGGGGGGAGAGAGAGAGAGAGAGAGAGAGAGAGAGAGAGAGAGAGAGAGAGAGAGAGAGAGAGAGAGAGAGAGAGAGAGAGAGAGAGAGAGAGAGAGAGAGAGAGAGAGAGAGAAGGAGAGAGAGAAAGAGAAAGGGAGAGAGAGAAAAGGAGAAAGAGAGAGAGAGAGGAAATTGGTAATTTTTCCCTTGAAACAATGTGCCTAGCCCCACGGCGATTTGTGGATTGCATATTTCATTTCTCCAAAAAGTTGTGTATTTTATATGATTTATGTTTTATGTATTAAAACATTACAGCCTGTAGTTGTTCGTCTGATGGCCAGAGGGAAACACACTGGTCCTTGTTGTCAATTTTTGTTCTTTCTTTTTCTCATCATGTCCTTGGCCGTGTATTATTCGACGGTACAGAACCAGATCGCACTGTCTTATCTGGTAAAAGTAGACAGATCTGGAAGGGTTGAAGCGAATCGAAAAAAAAATCAGAAATGCAGAGCTTCTTATCTTGGACGGAACATGAGGCGAGGAGAACTTTGACCTTTATACATCTATCAGGCTTCGAGAACCTTCGCCAAAACTTGCATCGGATGTATATTTGAGCTACGGAAATATTAGATAGATTTTACGGGGTCATGTTTGTGTTTGTAATGATTCCAGGAAATAATGATAATAAAAAGTGTGGACAAAAAGGTAAAAAAAATATGACCCTGTGACTTTCACGTATGTAAAGCAAATTGGCAAAGAATGAAATGAGACGAATTAAGACGAATTAAGAGTAAAATAAAATCCTTTTCCTTAATATAAGTGAAATTCGCGGGTTAAAGGATTATACCCAAGAATGTCAGAGCGAGTAGAATTCTCGAGAAGCTTATAGGTCCGTCGTCACGCGCGGCACAAAATGGACTCCTTTAGTGTGAACGCTGACAATACACGCGTTCTGCTTGTTTAGGAGTTTTAATTTGCATTCATCTCTCCTGCCTTTTGTTGCGACGTGAACAAGTAATCTATGAAAGTCCATGTAAACCCTTTTAAGCTACAAATTTTACCTCACAAGTAGTGAAAGTTTATTCTAGACTGACACTATTTAAACGTTAATCTCGGTGGTGATGCGAATAAGGGAGCGACGGACACCATTGCCAGGAACCTTCCATTCCGACGCTTGATTTTAGAGGAAGTTGCCCGTTTTCATATCAGTTTTCATCAAAGTTGATAAACTGGAGAGCTAAGTGTATAATAAACGAAAATCACCGAACCAGGTAGCTCCGTTGACATATATTTTTTTCCCTTTATCGGCCAAAAGGCATGGAATGTGCGTGACTCAAACTCGCGTGATTTTATTCGCTTAATTTAACAAGATGTAGTTCACTTCACGCACGCTGTCCGGAACATGGCTGTACGAAGAGGCAGAGAGGGAGGCGGAAAGGGAGAGAGGGTAGGGAGAGGGAGAGAGGAGGGGAAGGGGGGGAGTGAAGGAGGGAGGGAGAGGGAAAGAGGAAGGGAAAGAGGAAAGAAGGGAGAGAGAGTTCAGGGAGAGAGAGGGAAGAAGGGAAGTAGGGAGAGAGAGGGGAAGGAGAAAAGAGGGAAAGACGAAGAGAGGCAAAAAGGACAGACGGAAAAGAGATAAAGAGGGAGTAAACAAACAGGATGAAGAGAGGAAGAAATTGAATGAAAGGACGGGAGGAAGAGAAGAAGGGAGAGAGGTGAGAAAGAAGGGAGAGATAGAGAAAAGAGAGATAGTGCCCCAGCTAATACTCTAAGGTAAAAGCCACCAACTTGAACATTTTAACATACCTTTGAACCTTGTCTTCTGTGCTCGGGAAACCACCCTCCATTAATCTAGAATGAGATTTGAAGAACGATTGATTTTAGAAAGAAAAAAAGTAAAATATGATTAAAGGTAATGGCCTCTGTGACCCGATTGGCAATCACCGTATTGGAATCGAGAAAATTTATTTATATTTTTAAGCTGATTAATAAAAATGGTTCCGCAAATTCGTGAAAAAAGCACGAATAGAGAAATTTTAGGCATGATTTAAAGTCGTGATAGTTTATTACCCGATTACTCCTTAAATTAATAAAGTATGTATTAAATAAATGAAATATGCATTAATGGAGACCTCTTCTGCCTACACGAATAAAAGAAATCTTTACGCCTCCTCCTTTTCAAATGTGAAAGCTTCATAATGTTCTTTTAAAATATGTACGCCAGTTTTAGGATGATTCACT